AAGAATTTCAAATTCATTAAAATTTTTATTAATGCTTCGAATATTTTGTACGAGGATTTTAAAGTAGGCATTAATGGATTCCTGCATTATAAGTGTCTTACAAGATTCGGGTAGGCATAGAAAAGAAGAACCAACTTTGACGTTATCTAGAGTATTTGTAAGAATCTGATTATTTATGTGATCGAATTTTAATTTTATTACAACAATGACTTAAAGTATGACATGAATGAATTTTAAATATGTACAACTTAAAATTCATAGTTAAATATTTACGCTGATTACTGATTATGAGATGAATAAGACAAAGGCTACCAAAATAAAGTAAAGGTCGATTAAGTTTAAAAGCTGCAAGTACACACAAATAAGGTAATATTTTAATAAACAACAAAAAACAGTAGTAATACCTTTTTAAAGAGCAGAGAAAATAGCCGAGTGATATATCTAGTCATTTCTGATTTCTTAAGGTAGCTAATAATTCTTCATTCTTAACTTCTATGTGGGGAGAGTCAGGTGCTTTCCTCAAGAATATTTTACCATGAGTTGTCCAGCAGAACTTATAGTGGTGAGATTTGGCAAAGTCTCTTGCTAAGAAAAATAGTCTGCGTCCCTTACTAGTAAGCGCTTCCGATACATATATTGGAGCAATTGGTCCTTGAAATCCAATTGTTGCCGTGGACAGTCGTTGTGTAGGATGATCTTTATTGTACTTTTTGGCAGCATTAATCACATCGTGTTTAGCAATGACAGTCGTTAGATCTGCAATGACTGTGTTTTTGCCCGATTTTCCGTTTAGTCGATACACATCCCGGATATTATTAGATTGAATATTTACATCCAGGGCTTTGCATGTATCTTGGACAATTTTACTTAGAGTAGCCTTTGATTCTGGTTGAGCAATAAATGGGATATTCCTCATTTCAATAGTCGATAGTTTTGAATTTCGTTCTATATCATCGAGTTTTAACTCTAAAGACGAAATTTGAAGTAAGTGCTGTTTGCGCTCAGCCTCTAGATTTTCTATCTTCTTTTTCATTTCTTCAAAATGAAAATTTAGAAACTCTAATGATTTTTCTATCTCTTCGTTGGATTTCTTGATATCATTATTTTGTTGTTTTATAACAGATACCTCCGATACAAGCTTGCTTAACATTGAATTCTGTGTTTCTTTCCAACTTTCTATCATGTTTTTTATTTCGTCTTTAAAAGTCGAAAACTTTTCCTCGCTTGATTCTCGTGGTCTTTTGCTTCTTAGCGTAATATTCGATGACATTGGGGTACAGGGAGTAATTGTTGAAATATCGGTATCCGAAGCTGTGTGCTTAAGACTATGTCCAGGAGGAGATCTTGCGATGGTAGACATTATTATAAAGGCACTTGGTACGAGTTCAAAGTTTTCGTAGTGAAACTCACCCACGGCTTACACAGGTTAATTTTATAATTTCTATGTTGTCCTAGTTTTACTTCAATATTTAAATTAGGGTTATTTATTATTTTCTTGTAAATATCCAATAAATTAGTTGAACCAATTAGTAAAATATGTAAATATTAAATAATGATTGTATTTTTGAGTGCACACGTCTGCTTTTGTTCGCGTTTCGAGCGGAAGAGTATAGATTACATCGGTTTACTATTACTCAATATATTAACGATAAATCAAGTAAATTTTGTCAAGTATAACATCTTGAAGGGACTAAAGAATATTAGAAAACGCAAAATGAATTTTGAGCTAACTTTTTTAATAAATATAACAGGCTTTTATGCATTCGTTCGCGTGTAATGGCAGCTATAAACTCTTCTTTAAGCGCACTCTCGTTTCTAGTCGTAACACGTATTTTATACTGTTTCTTTATTTTATTCAAGGCTGTAAATTTAATTTGGAGATATATTTAGGATACTAAGCGGGCAAGTTTTTTTATAAGTGTATGTAATTAAACCATTTTAGAAGTTATTAACCGACTTTAAAAAGAAGGAGGTTCTATTTTCGGTTGTATTTTGTTTTATGTTTGTTACTCAGCTGATACAAATCAAAGCACACTGACTTCGAAAATATCTGATTAGGTACGAGTATGTATAGTAAATGAAAACTAGCAATCAGTTATTTTTTACTTTTTAGTGTTATTTTATGAAGTCGTATTTTTTTAAGTTTATATTTTAAGAAGCGTTTTGTTCGAAAATTATTCCTATAAAAAAATTATCATCGAATCAGCCCAGATCTAATTTGAACCTTGGCAATTATAAATTTCGAACACGACCTTTAAAAACCTACTTCAAGAATCAAAATCTATATATATATATATATATATATATATATATATATATATATATATATATATATATATATATATATATATCTATACTTATTATAAAAATAAGTCCCCCGGCCGCCTCTTTCTGTCCTCCTGTCTGTCTGTACGCGATAAACTCGAAAACTACTGAACGGATTTTTATACGGTTTTCAAAAATAGAAAGAGTAATTCTTGAGGAAGGTTTAGGTATATAATTTATTATGCTTTTATGTAAATTAGCTGAAATACGGCGACAAATGTTGAAGAGGTCGCAAAAAATCTCGCCAAATGGGAACTTTCCACGCGAACGCCGCGTAAACTAGCAAAGATACAGTTAAGTAATGTACTAGAGAATTCAAAATCTATAAAAATGCTACAAAAAAGTCCGCGATAGCATATCTCTATCTCTTACGGTTGACTTACAATAACCACTTTTATGTTAACATTTTTAATTAAAAACATTACGTTATTTTCAAAGTTATTTTCTTTAGTTCGGTATTAATCCTTATCCAAATGAATATTTTAGTTAGCTTAGTCATTTAATGCAGATTAAAATTGCTCTTTACACTAAATCAATCAGATGAATAGTTTTTGAGATATCGTTGTTAGAAGTAATTAGTAGCGAAACATTTTTAATGCTTGGCGAGCATTGAGATGCCTACGGCGAGTCCATCCCCTCTGCCCCGCATCGCTCGACCGCCTGCTCAAGCTATATAAACCGGGCGATGTAGCGCGCGATCCTAGGATACTTTTTACCGCGGGAAAATATCTTATTTCTGAGGAAAAATACAAAAACTGCAATGTAAGAGTATACTAATATGTAACACCTAAGAATTTAGTTTTTGGTCATCTGAACGCGGGCGGAGCCGCGGGCAATGCTAGTATATATATATATATATATATATATTATATATCTCCATAAAAAGAAAAGCTTTGAAAAATCTGTAGTTCATAAATTTTTATCTTTAAATCACAAAGATAAAACAGACTTACTCTTAACTCAACAAAAAATGTACTCATCAATTGAGAGACGATTTAATTTGTATTCAAATAACTTTCAAGAACTGTTGTTTCTGGTAACTTTAATTATTACGTCGAAATAGAATGTAAATCGTTTGGAGCTTCCACTCGAAATGAAACAAAGAGTTGAATAAATAAACGATGATATTGAATGCGTAAAAGGAAATTTAAAGTTGTAAGTGTAATCTGTACTGCGAAATACGCTTCATCACAATTTTATAGATACTTTTATTTTAATTCAATACAAAATAAATGATTCGAACAAGTTGGAAAAAATCTAATATTTAGCTGTCGAGTTCTTGTGATATTGTGATGAGACTTGTATTCGTTTACGGTAAGAAAACGCATGGACAGATTTTGATGAAATTTAGTATGATGATAGCTAGTTATCCAGGTCAACATTTAGGATACTTTTACTGCGGAAAATCTGTACTAACGTTAAAACAAGGGATGAACCCGAACGGAGCGAAATACGAGTATGTACTATAAGGTATTTTGTACGGAGTATACTAGAAATTATGCATGCACAAATCGTTCATCATTCAATTTCACATTAATTGAAAAACAAACCATTCAAATAATTTTAAAAATTTTATCTATTTTATTTCATTTAAAGATTCCAAGCAATTTGTACAATATATTCAGTCGACTTCACGGTAAAATTTTCTTCGTATTACCCTGCCTTGCTTCGATTCGAGTGGTGACCGCTTTAACTTCGTTCTGTCCAACGTTCTAGAAAATTCTATTTGCTTATTTATTGCTACCATTACGTTTGCGTTGTTTATGTCGTTTACTGCTTTTTTCTAGGATATTTTGAGTATTTTGTTTATTTCAGTGGAACATACGTTTTTCTAATATATGCTGTGTTCATATTTATGTTTTTACACAGCAATAACCAGGTAAAAATTTGATTTGCCTGTACTTAACAATGCAAAATACTTCCTTAGATTTACGATCAAATATTTGACATTTTAAATTAAACTATGTTTTTGAAGTTTTTAGCGAAATTATTGTGATTTTTTGATTCCCGACGTTTCGAATGTTTTACAGCAATCATGGTCATCGAAGAGATTCTCCCTACCCTTTTATTTATCTATGCTTTATAATACATTAGAATACATGAGAAATCTAAGTGCAGGCTACCAAAAAAGCACCTTGTGGCAAGCAAGTAGTAAGTTTTTAGCAAATTGGTACGCTTTTTCACTTTAAATAAATAAATAAGTATCAATCAGTGTTAATTTTTATACAACACCTTATCTGAAAGAGCATTTCCAGCTTCAAAGAATTTTCACTGTCTCTTTGATTGGAGTAGTGACTCGTGACTTATTTTGTTCAACGGGCGAGAAAATTCTATTTACTGCCTGATATAAAGTTATCGACGTTATTTTTTATTTATTTAACACTATATTTATTTTATCTGTGTAAAAACTAGCAATTTTAAAAAATATTTATTCAATTTTTATTTTAGTACTCATTTTATTCTAAACAATGAGATATTTAAAGTAAAAACCGTTGCTTACCTTCTACTGTTTCGATACCAATACAATCTATGAAATTAATTAAAAATAACTATACAATAACAATGTCGGTTTAAAATATGCCATAAATGTATTTCATACAAACCAATTAATTATTTTTATATAAAACAAATAACTATAACAAAATCAAAATATAGCAAATATTCTATATACTCACCCATCCAAAAGCATTTCCCCTCGGTTTTTAATCCAATAGTTGATTGTGTTAGGGTAGGCCTCGACGTAGCACTTGAGCTTCACGTCAGTACCGAGAGGTGCTCCGAGCAGCTGATTTGGCACTTTCACAGTGGGTGCAACTGTGTAAACAAAATATGTATATTTACTAGCGGACCCCGTAAACTTCTTTATAAGCTTGTTTTATCGAAAAAATTGAAAAAAAATCTTGATAAAAATACCACCTACTGAGATTAACTATAGCTAAAGAACTAAAGTGAACTCAGAAAAGAAGAAGGGGTGAATATAATAACTTTTAAGATAATATTTAGTCCCAATAAAAGTATTATTGAAAACAAAGCACTCAACAAATGTCAAAAACGTTTCTTTAAAATTTAAATGATGCTTTTTTTGAGATTTTGTTGAATTTGATGATGTTTGAAATTAGTTTGAGAGAAATTTTGAAATGAGAGCTTTTGAATATTAAAGTTTCTACATTCTGATTTAAAAAGATCTAAAAAGTAAAACTAATAAAAAGCTAGTCTTATATATATAAGGATCGATCCACACTATACTACCAATCACGATTTATTTTCAGTCTGATATAGGTCTGGTAAAGTGTTATTATACAAGAAACAATGTGTGCATTCACACTATCATTAAGATTCATGATTCGTTCTAATTAATTTATTAATTTATTTATTAAGATGACCAACAGAAATGATAATAATAATACAAATATAATTTACATAATAAATTAAACACATTATAATTGTATTTCTTTTTAGAGGTAATCACAACATGCGTAAAAACAAAAGAAAACAATCAGTTTAATAAATGAAAGGATAATAAGAAATTTAAAGCTGAAATACATTATTGGATAAATTAATATTAATAAATTATTGAAAAGAAATAGAATTATTTAACAGTATTATAAGTAGCTTATTATTATACAGGATGAAACAAATCGATAGGACATGGAAGAAAAACACCTTATATATTGAAGTTATCAAGAAGTTATCAAGTTATCACTAATCATACTACAGCTACGTTTCGTGTATAAAAATTCTTTACCAGACCGATATCGAACCGAAAACTTTCTGTGATCGGCACTATAGTGTGGATCGGTCTTAAATGTGTCTGACAGAAAAGTCACAGCACTAATGTATGTGCAACTCAATGTCTTTTTTGCTTCGAACCTATTTGCACCTCGTATTATTGATTAGCCTGGCACTAAACTATATCGTGGTGCACTATAGCTATGTATAATATAGTAACAATAATAAAATGAGTTATTTCCATACTAGTATTTTAAATTGCAAATGTTCGAGCACTGCATGCATTTTTAGTAGGTTTATTTAATTATTAGTTCACTGTTTTGTTAGTGAACAATTTTTATGTGTTATTATGGGAGAGAACTTAGTAACATAACTGGCTGGCATTATATAATAGGGTGTATATTACATAGCGGGCCTAATAATGTTTCAATAACTGAATTGAGAAAAATATATGGTCCAGATACTGCATCCCGTTCAAACCACTTAACTTACTAACATACCACCACGTAAGAGTAGCCTGGAGCACACAGGCTTCTTATAGTGAAAGAATATTTCATAATCTAGGCATTACAATCTATGACGACACGTTTATATCAGTTTGTGGTTACCCTACTTGCTTTGTTAGCGGTCGCGGGTTCAAGTCCCGCTGGGGACATTCATTTGTGTATTGACTCCGGTCATAGGTGTTCATATTTACAATATGTAATTGTACATGTATTTAAAGTTATAAAATATGTATAGTGTATCAACTATCTGGTATCCATAACACAAGCCACGTAGCTTACCATGGAACTAGATGGTGCTGTGTGTTAATGTCCCAACATATTTATTATTTACTTTCAAAAAATCCTAGGTGCCTCTTGATGATAAATGTAGGCAGGAATTTTACACTGCTTTAGAAAGGTTTTGAATAATTTCGTTGAATTAATCTTATCCTGCCTTTATGCCAGCAAATGCAATTCACCATTTTAAAGTGCATCGAGAGCTCTATTACGTAGTGACAGTTGAATCCAGTTCTGGCAAACATCCAACGTTACCTGGATACGTTGATAAAAATGAACCTAAGAGCATTGTCTAATGGAACAAAAAAATACATCAATCTTTTCTTATAAATAATATATTATGTATAAAAGAATACGCCGTAATAAAATAAGATTAATCTGGGAGGAATTTTTTTTACTTGTACTAGAAGATTTCGTATAAAGAAGATTTTGAGAGCTTAAATTCTAGATATAGAATTCAAAAAAGTGATCACTTGAAGAAAGTAACACAATGCCTATTAGGAAAGAATCGGTGCTTGAGAAAAAAGCTGGCAGTGATGAGCTTTAAAAAATATGATACCAAATGCTAATTTTATTTAAATACTTAATAAGTAAAGCGGATATTTAGGAACTTATATTTTTAAGCTTTACTAAAGTTTAGTTAAGAACAAATTATTTCATTTTTTTCCATGATACTTTAAATATATGTATGTACATTTTTAATATCTTATAACCATGTTATTATATAAGCATTAAGACCAACGTTGTATAAACAAAAAATATTATATTATACCCTGTAACAGGTGTCTTCGATTACTGTTGATATAAAGGTGAATTTTATTTTGAATAACAAAATAACCCACTTAGTAGAGCCGTCTGTCACGCTTGGAAATCATCCAGGATAAAACAATCCATTTCCATTTTCCTATATACCTACATACAATGTTATTTACCACAAACAGAAGTATTATGAATAGCAATTTGAGGTATTGTGATATTTTCTTCGCTTATATACTAGTTAGTTATACTTAATTTGCTCAGAAATATTTATTTACCAGATTTTAGTCTATGTTTTAGGTGATTCTATTTAAAGGAGTACCAAACGTACACAAACACACATACAAAATTTCGCATCTATAATAGCAAGATTATTGACCGTTGGTTGGTTACGAAGTATAAAAATCTAACATTGCAATAACTTTTGAGTTTACTTCGCCAATTCCTAAGTTTAAAGTATTTTCTTTCTGAACTTTTAGTAGAGTTAGAACTTTATTTATGTAAGTGAAATAGTTACATTCTATATGGCAAATTGTGACTTTGACTTTACTTCTTTACATGGTATTTTGAAACCAAAAAACCAAATTTTCAATCAAATTTCGTCACCGATGTAAGTTTAGACTAAAGTTGTCTATCTATATACATATTTTAACGTCATATGCATGTACCGAGTATTTTTTAAAATAACAGCTATCTGATGTTTAGCTACAAATATCATAAAAGATATATAAATATCAAATAAACCTTATAAATGGGATTCACTCTAGGGAGTTACTTTTTGTTCCGGAAAATAAAAGGCAATTCGTGACAGGGTACAGTTTTAGACTCGAGTCCTTGTAGTAAGTCACTCTTACAAAAAAGAAATCTTATAAAAAAATTGATTTGCTTTTATATAAACAAAACTATCGACTCATCCTCGCTCCGCTCGTATCTAGTTACGTTTTAACGTTTAGTATAGATTTCTCAAAGGTGAGATATTTTTGACCCAGATAACCAGCTATTGCATTATGGTACATTATACCAAATTTCATCATAGCCTGCACAGTGGTTTTCTCGTAATGCGCTCACAGACAGACAGACAGACAAACAATCTAAAAACTATAGATTCAGCCTCTGTATCGATAATAATGACTATTTCAATAAGATTTTACAAAAAATATTTTATGTACAGGATTCGACTCAGAATTTTATTATAATTGTATTCATTAGTAAAAGTAAATAATTTTAATATACTCCAGTCTAATCGATATCAAATAAGTACTATAATGCTATTAATATACTATGTATTAAAAGGACTTTCTCTTAGAATTTGCGGCTTTAGTCTCATTAATTTCAAGTAGAATTGGATGTCCCGAACACACTCTGTATAAACTCAATATATGTAATACTCAATTTCAATTGGACATAGAAAATTAATTAATAATGTTACATTGTTATAATTGTGGCTTTATAACAACATAGTTGCAGCCGACTTTAGCCGATTTTTAACATGACACCAGAAAAACATAGCAAAATGTCAAATTTTGAATATATTTACTGTTTAGTTCTTATAGCGTAATGATGTTAAAAATATACGCGCTAACTCGCATTTTTATTAGTGCAATCTTGCATATTAAAGCTTTAACCAAAACTAGACTTCATATCTCTTTTATAGGAATTATTCTTTGGTAAATAAAAAGATAATTGTCATTACGTACTGAAAATGAAATTATGGTGATTTCTATACAATTACTATTATAAATGTAAGAAAAAAATATGTGTATGTACACATAAATAAATAAATAAATATGTTGGGACATTAACACAGCAACGTTTAGTTCCATGATAATACTACGAGGCTTGTATTATGGGTACCAGATGGTTTATACACTACACATATATAACTTTAAATTATAAACACTCATGACTGGAGCACAAACACTCGTGCTCAACTCGTGCTCAAATGAATGCCTCCAGCGGGACTTAAACCCGCGACCGTTGGCACAGCAAGTGGGGTTACTACAAACTAAACCAAACGTTTGTTACTCCTTCACACTGAAAAAGCTAGACAGATTTTGACGAAAATTAGTAACAGATAAACATAGACTACTGTTAGGCACCTAAAGACGCATTCAAGCGAAAGAGGTAAAGGTAAGGTGATATATAAAAAAAGATTTTCCCATTAAAATACTAACATGAAATGATGGCAATGAAATAAAATAAATAAATATGTAAGTTTATTTCTTACAATTAACGTTTAGCGTGATCCGTTTGCTGACTGCTGGCGGCACGTCGTTCGAGGCGATGCAGAGGAACGCGCCCATTTGACGCCGATCCACTCTCCAAAGCGGCATTGAACTGCCAACGTAGCTCTCAACTGAAATAGTTTTATATATTAAATCGTCTGCAGCTTATATATTTATCTATATAAGACATAGGCACAGTATTTTATTAACTTTTACCCTGGTTCTAACATTTGACCTCTTTTTATATTTAGTCTAAGCTTATCCTGGTTTTATTCTATCACACCTAATTCTGGACATAAATTACACTAATATTCAATTAATAATATCTCACTAAGGCAGTGGTAACCCAGTGGTAACGCACTCGCTTAAGAAACCGAGTGAAGCGGGTTTAAATCCTGCGTCTCGCACCCCAGATATTTTCATGTGCGAATCTAACATATTTACCGATTGTCTTACGGTGAAGGAAAAGATCGTAAGGAAATCTGCATGTCTGAGAAAACCTAGCAAGCTTTCGAAAGACATGTAAAGTCTGCCAACCCGTACTTGGCCAGTGTCGTGGACTATGGCCTGATCCCGCTCGTATTGTAGAAAGGTCTGTGCCCAGCATTGGGATATTGGGAGGATATATAAGTGGGAAAATGGGCTGAATACACAATCAAGCACATTCATATTATTCCTTTTCTATCATTAAAAATAGAAAATTCCTTATTAATAAAACCTATTGTAAGCTATGTAATTTTCCTACACCTGTGAATGCTGACGATATTCACATCATAATTACTGTGACCTTTGTGAGGCATTATCAACATGACGCTATGTGTAATATGAATAAATGGACGATAAATTTTATTATAAGCAAATTATTTAGTAACAAACTACGAATAAGACACTTTCGCAATATACATTTTATTTCACCCCGTTGGGGGTTGAATATTGAAAAATCCTTCCTTAGTGGTGCCTTTTTTATATGAGGAATACGTGTTGCGAAATTTCAATTTTCTAGCCTTAAGGGTTTGTCCTGTGCTTTACACATCAGTCAATCACTTATATATATATATATATATATAATAGATTAGTAATTTACTCTTACTTTGCTTAAATGGTAACGATGTAATTTTATGACAGTGAGCTTTGTGATTATAGTCTGGAATAACACATAGGCTACTTTTTATCCCGGAAAAATATACGGTTCCCGAGGGACAGATTTGTTTTTATTTTTCTAGAGGCGAACCCGAGCGAAACGAGGTTGAGCCGCTAGTTATGATATAATTTAGTATTCATTGTAGTAATAATCGGGTTTCGGATCTTATCTGTGTATTATTTAACTTACATTAAATTAATTTAAATTATTATTGATTTTTTTTAACATATTATATTTACTTTATATTTTATAAAATCAAATGTTATCAGAATAATGAAAAATCACAACAACAGTAACATCACAAAAACATATTAAAATATAGTTCGAACGCAAATATTTAAAACGAACACTAGACGTAAAAAGAAAATCTTTCAGATCGCTATAATAACCTAACACTTTCTAAAAATACAATCGGATAGATTGCTCTCGCGAATCGTATGAACAAATCAAGCAACATTTTCACATCGAGTCTCATCAATTTCCTAGACATGAAAGTTCAATTTCAGTGGCAGTCGAAGCGAATGATTAAGTCGAGATTTCCTTTATTTTCAAGCTACAGGCAAATCAGAGATTTTTTTAGTACCTATTACCTCTGTTATATGTACAGAGTAATGAGATATTTTGTGATTATTATCACAAAATATCTGTATATTACAGAATTATTCCTCTTAAAAAGATCTTCCTATTAAACTGTAGTAACGCTTTGTGCGCGTACCTAGGGACGCGAGCAAAACGAAGGTAGGTCACTACTAACATAATATAAAAATCATTCAATTTTCAATATAACGGCGAAGAATTATCGTAGAACAAAGAATTTTAGGCAGTGGTAGCTCAGTGGTAACACGCTCGCTTGGGAAACCGAGTGAAGCGGTTTCAAATCCCGGGTCTCGCACCTCTGATATATTCACGTGCGAATCATTTCTAACATGATTACCACTTGCCTTACGGTGAAGGAAAACATCGTGAGCAAACCTGCATGTCTCAGAGAACCTAGCATGTTTTCGAAAGACATGTGAAGTCCTCCAACCCGCACTTGGCCAGCGCGGTGGACTATGGCCTGATCCCCCTCGTACTGAAGGGAGGCCCGTGCCCAGCAGTGGGACGTTAAAAAAAGGGCTGAATACTACTACTAAAGAATTTTTGTTAAAAAATTATCAACCTATTTTTTTTTTTGGGATACAACTGTATATCAAACTAAAGACTGATAGAGCTAGAAATGCTCAAATTTATAATCTTAGTAAATAAATGTATATTATACGAGATCAAATTAAAGTTCATATTTTTAAAGTAAAATCGAATAAAGAAGATTAAATAAATCTAGTGTAAGCGCTTTACAGTATATAGAAGGATCTTCAAAAGCACTCTTAACCTTAATTTCGTTGGCAATTTTCAAATACACCTGTGATTTTCCATTTAAAGTCAAGAATGCATTAGTGAATTCGAGGCCTGTGTAAATAGACTCGACACAGTTAGTAAAGTTGGCTCCAATAGTTTCTTATGAATGGAAAGGCTAATATTTGTCTTAGCTTCTGTTCAAGTCTACAATATAGTCGTTGAAAACCATTAGATGTGCTAAATCAAACAAAATTATAACTCAACTAGCAGAACCCGCGGCTTCGTTTACACTGAAATTTAAAAAAAAACTCTAAAAAGGTAGCTTTGATACAAATTTTCATCCGCTATTTTACCCCCTTATGAGACGAATTTTAAAAAATACCAAGTTTCAAGTAATTCCGATAACGTGTTTTCTCGTGGGAAAGAGATAATCTTCCGTGGTAAAAAGTAGCCCATGTTACTCTCGACGTTTCAACTTGAAAGAAAGACAAACAAACACACTTTCACATTTATAATATTAGTATGGATGATGACTACTTCAGCTCTTGCGGTCAAGTAATAATTGCTTTAGTTTTTGTTCTCATTAAAATACTGCTTTTACCGAACTTTTTAAAATTTTGACTTCTCACACAACAGCTGTTTGATTTCCCATTCTCTGTTAATTTGAATTATTTTTAAATATAAAAATTATTATAAATAGATACTACTTTATTATCTTATCGAAAAATATGTATAGAACAAAAGTGTTTAGTACATTTTTGTTGTATAAACCTATGAACATCAAACTTCCTTGGTTCTTGATAAAACAGACTAACTTACAAGGAAATACATACATTATTTTATAAGCTACAAGAAAGAAAATAACTACAATCTATCAAAAGTGTTTAGCCGAAAACAAACAAAACCCAAGAATGGGATAAGCAACAGAAATAGAAATAAGAGCAAGAAGCACGCTCCAATCTTCCTTGCAATTTACGAACGCACCTGCGACTTCCTCGCGTCTACCTAAGCTTAGAACACATTAACGAGACCTTTGTAAATAGATTTAAAGTTGTAAATATATATTGTGTAAATGATAAAAAAATGATTTTAACATTTGTCATGTAAAATTCTTATTTATATATTTTTTTTAAAAATCCAAATCCAATCAACTTCCGAACACCGTAAAGTTACATACGATCGCATTAATCTATATTATTATGTAGATAGAAATTTGACATAAGCTCCATACATTTATTACGTCAGTTCTTATCGCTAGTAAGAAACTCCAGATAAATAGGTTATTGGAAACCGCTGTGAGTGAATTAAGATTGGGATTAATATGAAGTCTGCTTATGTTTGGTCAGTAAAAAAGTCAATCAACCATCTGGTTAGATAAGATATTTAAGAAAAGTTTACGTTATCAATTATAATACTATGCTTGGCACGCGGCTTCGCTCGAATGTTAATTATGACGGCTAAAAATAAAAGGTGGCTTATGCAAAAAAAGTTCGCATCGAAATCTGTTCAGCGGGTTAAACATGAAAAAAACGAATAGAAAAACAGATTTCTTTTACATTTATTAAAACCAGGGTCAAAAACCAGACACCCATGTTGTAATTATTTGTATAAAACCTATCCCTTGTACAACTTTTTTTGTAATTTACAATAAATTCTTTACCCGATTTAATAGTCATCGAACTTTTTGTTGGAAAAACCATAAATTGAAAGATTTAAAAAACCATAGATTTAATTATAACGAATTTTGTATTTCTACAACTACCTACAAAATATAAAGTAGATGAAAATACTTAAAGTAGAAAAAAATCATTAGCGAAGTTATTATTAGAAATATTTTTTTATATAATGTGATTTTTATACTTTAAAATATTACAATAGTGTAATCTAGGCTTAACTGCAACATTCCTAGCACGTTGCGAACAAAGTACATAATACAGAATATATACGTAAGTATATATTCTGCGATGCATTTCAATCTAAGTTATATGGATAGTGTATGATCTGAAGATTGTTGTTGAATATTGATATACATATGTACATATAATTTTATCAAGTATAGTTAAAAATTATTTCTCTCAATTTTATTTCGTTTTTGCAAAAATACGAGTATATGTAAAATATTAGAGCACTTTAGTATATAAATATAATAGGTTAAAATAATATAACGAGCTAAGAAGGTACACCATAATCAGCCTGTTTTTGTCCACTACTGGACATCCATTTATTATGTAGCTCGAGTTCACAGCCTGTGATAAGAACTGAAAATACATTTGAAAAATACTTTACAGATAATTTTTCCCCTTTAGTTTTAGAATTTTTCTTTAAGTCCTTCTATCCTACTAATACTATAAACGCGAAAGTTTCTAAGAATGTATGTTTGTTACTCTTTCACGTCAGAACGGCTGAATGGATCTGGATGAAATTTGTCACAGAGATAGCTTATAATAGCACATAGACTTTTATCCCGGAAAAATGCACGGTTCCCGTGGAATAGGTTTGTTTTTGTAAAAAATATGTGATAAAAAAAATAATTCAATGTTTCAAGATCATAATAATTGCTATCATTACCAAGAACAATGGCTATGATGTGAAAGGACGTTTAACTATAACACGAAAGGAAATTTCGTAACTTATCGAGCGCCTCACGCTATAGCA